TATTATTAGGATTAGCAAGAATTTTTCTAGATAAATAATAATATAAAATACTCAATGATTGATATGAATATATTAACTATTATAATATGAAGTTTTTTATTTAATATTTCATTTAGTCTATTTAATAGAATATTTCTATTAGATTTACAATAGTCAAATATAAGTTTAAATAATAAAAACTTATTGATTATATCGATTTTCTCTATAGATATTTTCACAAATATTTTTCTATAATTTTCTCATTAATAAAGACAAAAAAAATACCATATGATTGGAATAAAGTCACCATTATTGCTGTTTGTCTCAGGATGTTTATAAAAGATAATAAAAAAGCTGAAATATTCCAATACCATCGAAATAATATTGTTAATATACTCTTTATATAGGTTGATCTTCATTTTTAAAATAAATATAAACATATTCGAATAAATTGATTTATTTATATATTATTTCTATTATAAAAGATAAATACAACCAACGATTTACTCAAACTTTAGGAAAATAATAAATTTCTTTTTTCTTCATTTATCATTTATTATTTTTAAAAATGACGACTTTAATAGAAATTTAAAGAAAAAAAAAATGAAAATATGTTTGTTTTTTTTTTTCTTTTTATCATTTATCATTTGAAAATAAGTTAATCGAATAAAATGAAAGAGAGACTAGAGATATATGGTCGGTACCGTTACGAATCTAATATCTATATTTTCTTGTGATAAACTAGACAAATAGGATTATCACTATTATTAGGTATAGATGTTTGTAAAAGTACTTGATTACTCTATTTCTATCTAATTTATATAAAATACGTAGAGATCATTTATGAAAAATAATATCAATAATAGCGAGAGAATAATGTCACTAAAGAGTCTATTTAACAGATGGCAGAGTCAACATATCATTTATATAGCGTTTAGTTAATTAAAATGCCTAGATGAGCGATTACTCAATACTCTCTTACATTATTTAATAGATTATTAAAAATAAAAAAGAACTAAAGAGATGATGTATCACAATTACTGGTATATATTATCAGGGAAATTCGATTATTCTTAATCGTCTCTACATAATAAAAACAAATTGAAATAGTTCAAAAAGAAAAAAGTCAATGACTAAATGAAGAAACAAAGAAAATAAAACTTTTTTGATTACTATTAGTCAATCTATAGTGATTAGTTTTTAACAAGACAAAACAGAGTAAGATTTTTAGTGATAGACTCATTTTAAATATAAGTGTCACCATTTATTACAATAAAAAGAAACGATTCGATGATATTATATTCTTCTAACTTGAATATATATCATCGATTGATTAATTAAATTAATATTTCTTGCTGTTTATCGTTGTTTGTTTGAAATATTTCTTAACTTCTCTATAAACAATCTTAATCTTAGTTATATCTTAAAATGAACATAATTCTTTCACTAAGAAAATCTTATATTTAAACGATGGGTTTATCATGTTAAATTGTTGATAAGAATTTATCAATGAATGATTATACAAGTTTAGTCAATCTAATGAAAATGAAAAGTCGTTATCGATATTAATGTCATCATATATTGAACCTTTATTGATAACGACCAAGACTAATTTATAGACATTAGTTTTTAGACAATTATTTATCTTGAATCATTGGAGATCCTAACATTCGGCATTCGTCATTCTTAACTATTTCATTCATTATAGTTTAGTTGTGTCAACATCATATTGAATATATTATCTTATATTAAATAGAGAACATATCAAATAGATAATAGATTGATTAAACAATAATTAACATTTATTTATTTATTTATTTATTTATTTCAAATGTCTATATGAATGATAATTCTTTCATATACCTGATCATATTATATATGAGAAGATAACGGATCATAAATAATGGCACAAATTATATAACAATTACTTTCAAATCGATCAAAGTGCAAACAGTTTCAATGGACATTAATATATAGAAAGATTCAGTTATTCAATGGTTTAATATAGATAATTATTATTCAAGCATTAATCAACCAAAAAATATTTTTGTTCTTATAATTTACCTTGGATATTGATGTCGTCACAGAGATTCTGTTTGTGAAATAGTTCCAATTTCTACCCATAATTGTATATAATGTATATCTACGTTTAGTGTTATAATTAGAATTTGATTTCAACGTTTGAATCAATTTATCTTGTTTATTGATGAGTTTTGAAAAGAATTTTATTTTATTTTGTTTGTTTGTTTATTTGTTTTGTTGGAATTCATTTGTAGTTATTTTTGGTTTTCCTATATCCTTTTATTCTTAATTATGATCATTATTATTCTACTAGTTAATTAACACAACTGGAAAAAAAGTATTTTGTACATATTTATTATATATAAAGCAGTTCTCAAACAATTATCATATATGTTATTCGATAAAATAAGACAAACTGATATTAATTATCTTGGAAAGTTCGAGATATTGATTAATTAATGTTTTTATTTTAATGATATGAAAAAGTCTAATATTTTAAATATTCTCTAACCGATATTGAGCTATTTAAATATAAATGAAGACTTTTTAATATAGATGAGTGAAATAGTTATCGTTAAGGTAATTTAGTGCTTTATTTAATAACGAATAAACAATATGAGGATAATGTCGAAGAGTCTGAAACCTTCGAATAAAAACTTCTACTCATTGTTTTCTTCTAATATCTATCTAATGTAAGTTCGACAATATTTTAATCCCATTGATTAAATAGAAAAAAAAAACAAAAGTCTATAAATGAAAAAAGCTTCGAAATAGATAAACAAATATATTTTAATTTAATTTACATTTACGATATAAATATAAAGATTGTCAATATGTTCTATCGATAATAATTATTAAATCGGATTTATCGATTAATCAACATATAGATATCATTGAAAATTTTTCTTTCGAGATCATATTATATCAATATATTATTTAAACATGGTCAATATAGTAAAAACTAATTAAATTGACTTTTTAATAAATCCGAGGTAGAGTTTTATTTTTCCAAACTTTTATTAATTTAAACTATTGAATTTTTTCGATTGATGTTTACCAATAGAGGCAAAACAAAATTGACTAATTAAATATATTCTCCGAACGATAATGTTTTCTAGGTTAAAGTTAAGTTTATTTTAATTTTGATTAAAATGAAAAATAATTTAAAGTTAATTAATATAAACAATGATTAACAATTTAAATAGAATAAATTGTTTGATTCAATATTAATATAGATAGATTAATTAAATAAAGTTAATTTAAACTGTTTCTGTTTTAAATTAAACAGATAATATATCAATTGACTATACGTTGAAACTTGATTATATTTCAAATTTGTATAAATATTTCTATTCTAATATAACAAAAATGAATTAATCAAATGAATAAATATTTCGAAAATCTTAAATTAAAAAAAGAAATATTTTATTATTATATTTACTTTAGTTTATTTGTATCTTATATAATTATTCTTTATCGACAATCAAGATAATAAATATTATATTTTCATTATTTATTTTAGTTATCTATTCTCTAGAATTTATTTTCTAAATCATCATTATTTAATCAAATTGACATTGTTTATTGCATTATACTAAACTCAATGAATATTTTAAAGATAATAATAATATATAATACTTAACTAATATTCAATTATTTTATTTCTCAATAGAAATCCTTATAGGATCTATCTTTCAATTTTACTATCAGCTATTTTAAATATATTAACATTCGCATACTATTTATTGTTATTGTTATTATTAGTGTTAAATTGAATATTGAATAATAAAAATAATTTGATTATTTCAATATAATACTCTATTAATTGTTAAAATTCTATTTTCACTATCGATATATTCTTGCTTCATTCTATTGCTAACTGATAATTAAATCGTTATTTAAACAAATATATTTATTGTCGAACTTCACTTGACCAAACATTTATCATTAATCATTAACATTTGATAGAATCGATTTTCATTCTATTTAATTTAATCTAAATAACAAAACAATAAATAAGAAAACTAAAACTAAACAGTTTCAGTCTCAAAATGATGATAGAATGTTCTTAAGTAAAACTAGAGTCAATATATATAGATATATATTTTAAAATTGATAGATGAAATCATTTTCCTTCAATTATTAACAGTAACAACATAATGGTTTACATATTAATTCTTAAAATATTAATAATAATATCTCTTTGATTATAATTGATTATAAAGTTATCATCTGTATTATTGTTATTTAACAATAGAAATTTGTGCAATATATTTTTCTTCTTATTATCAATAAGACACAAAATCTATAGATCATATAATATCACTGATTTAGTGATATATGATTGGCAAACAATTAATATCGTACTCTTATTCAATCATACATATTAAATTAATCTTAAGGAAGAAAAGATGTGATAGTTTTTTGATTAAATAATAACTCCTGATACTAATTGTTCGATCTGTAATATTAATTTATCAAATATATTATCTCATTTATTTTGTTAAATTAGGAAAATTTTCAGTTTGACTAATTTAATGATAGTTTCGTGTAAAATTATATTTGTTTTTAACTAGACATATTCAATATAATTGCTTTTTCAATATAGATCTATAAAGTGATTTTTTATTATAATTGCGAAGAAAATGTTTTTAACGCGATGTTTGTTAAAATTCTCTGAATAGTTGTTATAGCCTGTGGTCATGAACATGAATACATTGTCGTTATTTTTCAAATGTGTTTTCTTTTGTTGTACATAAAAAAAGAAAAAAAAAAAAGAAAGTGTTTAAACAAGAAAATAAAAACAATCGACTGACAGTCGATTTATTTCATTTGAAATTTTTTTTTCTTTTTATGAAATTTGTCAGTTTTTATATTTGTTTTGTCCAAAGTGATAAACAAATCGAAGTTGAAAAATGTATTTTATTTTAATTTAGTTTAAAATATTAATTAATATTAAAATAATTAATCAATAAATAAATTAATTTTAGATAATATTAATGGATGAATTAGATATTGTTTATAGAATTCGTAAACGAATAAATAATCTTGAAAGAAAATTAAAAACTTTGACTTATGAAAATGTTCATGGGAATTCAGATATAAATAAACGAACTGTTGCTCGAATAAATAAAATTCAAGCCGAATTAATTAAACTTAAAGGTATACATAATGATAAAATTTCTATAATATATTCAAATTTAAGTAAAATAAAAAAAAATTCTTCAATAATAAATGATATAAATATGAATATGAATATGAAAATATCTGAAATTGATATTGGAGATAAACTAACAAAAATAAAATTAACACCTATTTCATTTAAATTAGATGATAAAAAAGAAGCATTAAAAAATATAATTTATCCAAATGATGGTAGTGATAGATATATATTAAATATTCTATCACGATATAGAACAATAATTAATAAATCAAAAGATTTTATTAAACAACCATTTAAACTTAAAAATGATTCAATTGAAACTGTTATTATATTACTTGATTATTTTATTCGTCAATATCAAGGAGAAATATGTTTTACTAATCAATTTATATCTTATTCAGATTCTAAACAATTAACAGCAACTGGAATAATTAATTTATCTTCTCTTCATTTAATTACTGCTAAAACAATATTAACAGCTACATTTTCAATTAAAATAAATCTTAATTATGATCGAGATCTTGCACATTCAAATAATACAATGATTAATTTTATTCTTGATTTAAATAAATCATTAGCTCATTTACTTAATTGTAAATATGATTTTATTCGAATATTTTCTATTGAAAAACTCGATTATAAACGTGGAATGATTAAAGTTAATATTGGTTTAACAACACCTGATATATATCAAACAGAATATCTTGCTAAACACTTTCAGGTTAACTTTTTTTTTTTATTATTTTATTAATCAACATTTTGGTTTTTTTTTAGAATCTTGTTCGTCGATCTGATATTCAAAATGATAAAATTCTTCGTTTTATTCAATCCGATTCTTATGAATATGAATTACTACCTATTGTATCTTATCTTCAATTAAGTTCAAAAGATTTTAATATCAATTTAAATAATGATTATAAACAAAGAGATTTTTCTAAACAAGATCAATATTATATTCCAAATGATGATTACTTTCGTCATGAAATAAATCTTAACAATAAATATATCGATAATAATAAATTCTTATCATCATTTGATAGAAAATCTTTTAATAAACAATATCCAATTGTTTATCATGGTACTGATTCACTAACATTAAATAAAATAATTCAACAATATAAACTAGAATCCAATTCAATTAATGATCAACATATTCAACAAATAAAAACAAAACATAATCGATCATCGATTTATTTAACAACAGATTATAATATTATTGATAATAAATATACAAGACCATTAACTATATCAAATGGAGATAATATACAAACATTTAAAATTATTTTTCAATATTATCTTATACCGAATTCTTCTACTATTTATATTGATATTAATCATAGTGGTCAATTATGGCAAATAAATGATCCACAATCAATTCGACATTCGGCTATTTTACTTAAAACAGAAACAACACCAACATTATTATAATTAATCATTATATTATATTAGAATATTTCACCCCTTTTTATATTTATTTAACTATAGATTTACACGGATTTTTTTGTTTGTGTTCAACATTTTGTTTGAAATAAAAATATTCTTTCATTATAAGAATAAGGTTATATGCTATTCGTCAATATTAATTATTCTCTCTC